AGCCGGTTTAGGGTTTAGGGTTTGGGGTTTAGGGTTTAGGGCTCAAGGCTTAGCATCCTGAATCCAGTATTCCCCCTCTTCTGGGTTGCTTTTGGGGAACTAAAGTGAAATTGACTGTGACCTGCATGTTACCAGCAATCTGAATTAAAAGCAAACCCATAATGGCCTAAAGGCCGCAAGGGATCTGGCATCTGCGAGCCCGGGGATTGAGCCGCCGCGTGGTTTAGGGTCTATGACCCGCGTGTAACCCCAATTACTTACATTTTTTGTGGATATACATGCTAATTAGCGGGGTACTTACTACCAAATATTAGGTAATTGGTGTGACAGGCAGGGTTAATTGTTGAGGCAAAAGGTACAAAGACAACCTCAAAAAGTCTCGAGGTCACCGTCGCTAAGGGCTCCGATTATACGGAGAAAAGGGGACTTGAATTGGGGTCCCTTGCCTGCACCTCAATAAACTTGGAATGCTTCAGCGGAGAAAAGGGACCCCAATACAACCCCCCCAAATAGAGAACGCCCCACTACTAAGTATTCTCACAGAATGGAAGATAATACGAAAGGAATATCACACGTCACTTGTATTTGTATACATACATATATATTTATACATATATGTATATGTGTATGTATTGCTAGGGGACTGGCGAGGGGGCCTCAATCATTAGGGGGAGGTGATCAACTTCCCCCCCAATAAAAAGCTTGACCCACTCAGGCGGCTTCGTCCGTGGAGCTGCTCGGGGTGCTCGCACGCCACTTCTGGTAGTCCCGCTGCCACTTCAGGTAGTCTTCGTACACGCCACCCTGCTCTTTCCTGCAAAAGGGGAGGGCGTCATGTTTCAGGATTAGGCTCTCGTCGGTTTGCAGCTTGCGGGGTTTTAGGGATTAACAGTTTAACCTGCGTGTACAGGTTTGGGGATAACTGCATGTGGCGTGGCTCCGATGGTGGATTCCTGTCTTGAAGCTGTTCATTAACTAGGGATTACCCCCAGAACTCAAACCCCCAAATCTAGACCGTAAAATCTAAACTCCTAAACCCTAAGCCGGTACAAAGCGGCAGCCAATCCAGCAGAGCTGCAGCATCGGATGCAGCTGAGGCAAAGTCACACCGCGCTTCGTCGGGCTAGTATTCCTTGGTTACGAGTGAACCCTCCCCTAAAGGGTACATATTTAAAGGGTCTATAGGAAATAGTGAAAAATCAAATGGGAAAGGTTTACGGAATAGGGTTTCAGGTTTTACTTACTTCTGGCTAGAGGGGAACCAAGGATTGGTGATGCCTGAATCCCTTCAAGCACATGAATACCAATTCAGAACCCTAAACTTGTAAGGTTGTCATATCGCAAGTTGCTTCTTGGGTGTGGCGCCGACTCGAAACCCTAGAATACCCAACTGCTGCTTGCACTAGCCAGCGGAGTGAAAAATTCTGACCCAACCCTCAACCCCCAAATCCTGAATGCTAGACCTGAAAACCCACATCCCAAGCCCTGAAAGTGATGTTTTTGAAGCTGATGCTGCCCTAATCTGAGTTACTGCCAAGGAACTTCCATGTTCTTTTTCATGAGTAATGATAATGGAAAGAAAATGGAATCGACTACATAACAGTAGATTCCATTTCATTTCCCTTTAGGATGGAAAATCTAGCCCCCTAACCCCACACACTAATCCCTAAACCCTTAACCCTGAACCCTAGATCGGCGAGGCGTCCTTGGCCTCACCACCGGGGAGGCGTCGCTCTGCGAACCGAGCACCGCTGAGGCCGGGGAGGAGCCCATGGTCGTCTCAGAGGCCTGGTTCACGGGTTAAGGGTTGAAGGGTTTATCAGGGTTTAGGGTTTTGGGTTGAGGGGTTTTGGGGTTTACGGCTGAGGAGTTTAGGAGATTAGGGGTTTAGCATTTAGGGTGCGGGGATTTAAGGGTTTGGGGGTTCGGGATCAGAGTGTTGGGTGGGTTGAGGGATCTAGCGGTTTAGGGGTTTAGAGGTTCGGGGTTTAGAGGTTCGGTTGGAGGTCTAGCGCTTGTTGGTTAGTTGAGGGTTCTGGGCCAGTTTAGGATTTGAGGTTTGGGGTCCCTCATGGTCCCTCCCCCAGGGGCGCCGCGTCGTCTGCAAACTTGTCCGTGGAGACCCCGGCAGCAACGGTCGTCAGGCCTGCGCTTGGGGCGACAAATGACTGGGTCATGTTCTAAGACTTAACGTAAGTAACCACGATAAAATGTCCCCTCTCCCATGATAACTTAATTCAAACCTGTGAACAATAACCCAGGTGAAGGACCTTGTTTGGGGTCCTGAAGTTTACCAGAAGCAGTTCTGTCAATCAGAGGTAGACAGAGACCCTGCATTGTAAACAATCCCCGCCTCCTTCCGAGTGCTCTGTCGCAAAGCTTTCCCTCCTCGGAATGGCTTTGGGTTTGGGGGCTTGCATGAACTAATATCGAAACTCCTTATATCGCCCTTGATAACTGATAACCCCTACAAAAAATAGTCCATGGTATGAACCCTGTTCAGGAGTTTGGACTACGAATTACATGATCCCTGGTTAGGTGGTTAGCAGCTTTGGGTTCTTCACTCCGGGGTGTGGCTTGTGGGTTCAATCATCCAGACTTGCTGTTTAGCAGGACTGACTCGCTGTTTTCAAAAGGATTGATCACGGGTTCCTGGGTTCAGGGCTTCAGGGATGAAAGGCTGCTGCTAACGTTTGATATACGTCTCAAGCAGAAAGAATCTAGAAACCTCGGAATTGGAAACGGTTGTAGCTCATGAGTCATGAAGTTTTAAAATTCATTAGGATGTATTAATACCCGATAGTTTTGGAATACATGCTGGGACCAGAGCCCCGTCCCCACTAGGCCCCTTGGCATTGAGGGTCGGCACACGCGCCTCGCGGCACCTCCAAGCATTGAACATGAATCACGCTGATCATTAAAACGCCCATAACAAGAAAAACTAAAAGCCTGAGCAAATCGTCAAAATAACGTACGCACGTACGCAGGTCCAACCCTTGGTCCTGGTTGTCTTTGCACTGCTACTCGCAGCTACGCTGATGTGATCACTGCTTCCTCCCGGCCACCTGAGCAGGCTTTGCCAGAAGTGGGGTCCACCTGTAAATTGTGAACCCCAAACCCTACGTACATGTTGACCTTAAACCCTAAACCTACATCTCAACCCTACCGTCTGTTCAGGGCCCTGTCACATGGAAGTTGGGTCCGGCTGGGCCCTTCCTATCCGAAACCATCGTTGTCTCAAGGTTGCATGCAAAGGCCCCGAATAACACTCTTAAGGCCCAAACATCGCACACTCCAACTTAAAAACCAGCAAAACATTTTTTAAAAAAACCTCGGCCTCAGCTTGATAAGGATCTGCGCCACCGTGCAGAAAATGCCTGGGATGTTGGGTGCCATCACGGCTGGGTTGGCCAGAACCATCCTTGGCGTCTGCTATCCTTCACAAACTTTCTGAACTATATACCCCCAAAGGTTCGGGGTGGGGCTATGTTAGCTAGGACTTTTACACCCCGAAGACTAATATGTTAGGGGGGGGGCGGTAGCTGCCCCGTCCCCGACGGCCAATCTTAAATCCTTTAAATCCTTGACGCTTCTGGACCACATGGTCTCCGCGAGTCTGTCAACCAGGTACCACAAAGAAACATGGAACAAATTGCTAATCCGCATCTGTGCAGAGCTCTGCAAGAGCTAGCTTTCACGATACAGTGTCCCCCTGAGATTCAGACAGAATCCATTTGACAAATGTGAATTGCTTTTCTGCCTCGCTGGCTTTGCATAACAGACCTTGAAGAAGAAGAAAAGTCTTGAAATACTTTCGGATTGTCCTACAGGCAGGTTTCCTTGTTCCGCGAGAGCTGTCGTGAACTTGGACTGATTGCCTTGATACGGGCATCTCGTAAGTAATACCACTTTCTTCTCCATAACAGTAACACTGCAAAACACCCATAACTTGGCAAGAACCCCTGTTTGTCTAGATCCGTTAAACACACCTGGGCGTCCCGTAGCCCGCCCACACGCAGTTGTGGAGCAGCTGTGCCAAGGCATAAGGGACGAAGACGGAGGAGCCGTCTCGCTTCTTGATCAAAACCTTGGACTTGTTTGAAGGCCCACCCCAAAAAAAAACCAACCTAAAAGACTCCCTCCCTGGCGCAGTAAGGACGACACGTTTAAGTTCCTCCAACAATCCTATGCCTGAGGATCAGCCCCCACCCCAAAATTACTCCTTGCTATACCCACAGTTACTTCTAGTGCATGGGGGCTGAACCTAGCCTACACTAATCAGCCATAAGCCCTGCATCAAATCCCAAGAAACCCACAGGTTCTGGATAGGCGAGGAGAAGCAAACGAAGGCCACGCCCATGGCAAGGTAAGAGAAGGCATCCAAGCGCTCCTGGCTGTCCCCTTTTCAATTTTGGGGGGTTTAGGTTTAGAGTTTAAGCTTTACAGGAGCTGGGCATAATCCCAAAGCACGGGCTTTCAGTTTAGAAGTTCAAGGTTTGAGGTTTTAGGTCTTTATTTTTTGGTTGTCTCCATGGATTTGTTCTGTTGTTTGTGGTTGTCTAGGTCTTTGAACGGTGTTGGCGTTTCACTCGACTTTCGTAAGCATGCAGGATCCCTAAGATCCTAGACGAAGCGGTGCCCATCAGCGGACTCCCCCACCCCAGACCGCAAACAACAAACCTTAAACCCTAAAACCGCCCAACATTAGATACGTCCCCAAAACCTCTCTATATATATATATATACATATATGTACTTATACATACTTATACATAGACATATACATATACCTATAGATACAAATATACATATACATGTACATATACGTATACGTATACATATACATGTACGTATACATATACGTATACGTATACAGATACATATGTATACATAAGCATATATACATATACATATACACTCACATATACATATACATATACATATACATAGACGTTCACATATACCTGTACATATACATATATGTAGAGAGAGTATCTTGTATTAGGGGCCCTCCTGGACGGTAAAGGTGTCCAGGAACTCCAGGCCCCCTTGGCCCGTCGCCTGCGTTAGGAAGGACAGGATGAACCTCAGCTTTTCAAGCGGAGGAGCCTCCGTCGTAGCGGTTGTAGGGGCTTAGGGTGCAGGGTGTAGGTTTCAAGGTGCTAAGTTTAGGCTTCAGGAAGCTAAGTTAAGTGTTTTCTTTTCTCGGACCTTTGCTCCGCAGCAAACTAGGTCCAATGAAGCTAAGTCAAGTCTAGGGTGTGCCTTTAAAGCCCTACAGCCCTTCAGGGTTTACGGTTCTGCAAAGCTTCATCCACAATCTAGCTACAGTACCATAGAATCCTTCCACCCCAATATTTTATAACCCCAACCCCTATAATCAGGTCTCTTCAAGAATCATATCATATGATAGTCATGGATGCAGGCATTCTGCATCACCTACGACACCAAGTATACTGAAGTTTTCAAAGGATAGGACTATAAGCTGGCTCAAAATCTCCTCCATCCACAATAAAGTCCTTGTTTGATCTTCCTTCTATACTACTATTACAGGGTGTGGGGGGGCGGGCCCCACCTAAAGAATACCTGCTCGAGTCGATTTGGAACGCCAGGGTATAGAATCGCCCAGCCAAGAGAAAGCTCTATCAAACTGTACCAGCACTCCAGGCAACACCCAGAGTGTTGCATTCCGTGTAGTGTTCATGGGACTGCTTGTATTGATAATATCAGTCTTCTAGTCATGCTTGATAACGGCACTCATATGACACCCCGTACATTGTTCGTGGACCTTGACCCTGAATCCCTTAAGGTAATTTCAGCAACTAGGTGGAACCGATTAAGTCCACTTTGTGTATGATGGAAAAGTAAATGGAAACTACTATAAGAAAGTAGTCTCCATTTGTCTTCCAGGAACATCAGCCCCAAGCCGAAGGCCAGCTGTTGTTCGGTGCTGCGGATGGCCTCCCAAACGGCACCCCAGACAAAACCCGGGATGCTCTGTTTTGTTGTAGAAAGTTTGGAACTTGTAAGGTTTTTCGGGTTTGGGGTTTCGGTTTTGTTTAGGCTTTTGGCAGACTTGCAACAACAAAAAGTGCAACTTCCCTGCGGCCTTCCTGCGGTAGGATTTGGAGAGACCGTGCATGTGCAGCGTATCCTCTGAGCGGAATGGCTTGGAAACCCAAATACCCAAAAACGGGAGACCAAAAACATGACCCTGAAAATCTCGAAGTGTCTACAAAGTTCTATTCTGTCCTTGCGCGTCAGGAGGCCTGCGTCCCCGCCAGCATCGTCTGGTGCGGGCGGCGCGAGCTCTCCCTCCTGTCTTCGGGAGCGTTTCTAATCTAGGGGTCTTGGTTTAAGGATAATGGAATAGGGTTTAGGGCTCGTGCTTCGGGATCAAAATTTAAGTCTTAAGGCTTTGGAAAGATCAGGTTCAGGTATGGTTGAGGCTAAGGTTAAAGGTGCAGGCCGTGTGAGCTGGCTTCAAGATGTTTACGAGGTTTCGTAGTTCTGATTAGTTGTGTGAATACGGCGCCCCTATTATTCCTTGACCCCAAAAGCTACAAACAAAATCTCACAAAAAATGGATGTAGGACAGTACGCTCCTCGCGCGAGAGCAAGCTTATGGCGGCCATACAAAAATACCTCAGTGGCTTCAAAATACCTACAGACGGTCACTATGGAAAGAAAGAATGAATTGCTACAGCTGTTCCCATGTAATCCTTGAATTCCATTCCTTCGTTCTTTGTTCACCACTAGATAGAATAACGCCATAGTTGCTATTCATTGTATTTTTGACACGATGATCTACAATATTGCAACCCGCTTTAAGAAGAACTCGGGCAAAAGAACCTTGTCCCAGCCTTCGCGTTTTCGGGGTTTGGCATGAGGTTTGGGCATCAAAGGTTTGTTTATATCTGGGTTTGGGATGCAAACAATACTACAGGCCCCAGTACGAATGCTATTGACCTTAATGATGCTATTCAAAAATCACGCAAGGCAATGTCATACAACGGTCCTGCAACATTGGGTGCCCTACCAAAGCACCATGTAGGGACCATTTTATTTGCATTTCCCTGCACGGGTGCCGACACAAACCCAAGGTACATCCACATCACAACGCTGATCACATTCGCTAGCAGCATGTACATGTCACCCAGCATGACGGCATAGAAAGACCAGGTGATGCCGTTGAAGAAGTAGAGTCTCAGTTGCTCTTAAAGATCCTCTTAACTCAGCAATTTGCAATTTGTAAGGCCCCGTATGACTAAGTAGTACGAACCAAAGCTGACAACTGTTTTCTAAAGTGGCAAAAGGACGGCCAGGATCGCGTGTCCATGCCTGCAAGGGAACCACTCTCTCGCGCCCGCAAGAGTGTCCGGAACGGCGCTAGTGCCATGCCGCTGCAGGTCATCACCTTGGGGTTGCTTGAAGACTCGAAAAACACTGGGGAAAAAACCAAAGTTACTCTTGTCAAAAAAAAACAAGTGTTCGTTCCGAGTCTTTTCTTTGTCCTTTCAAATTAAAGCAAGTGCCAGTGACTCCGACGAGCCCCAAGCCATGTCGCATCAGGATCTCCCTCGAGACCATGGCTGGCCCAGAGGCAGGGAGACTCGGGAAAAATGCTGGGAGGCGCCGCCTTGGGCGGTGGTTTCAGCAAAAGGGCTCTGCCATCAACCGAAGCAATACATCTCCTCCGGGCACTAATGTTTCGGTGACAATAATAACCTCCCCCGATTTGTTTTGCGATTTGGGCTTACGGAGGGGGGCTCGCAATAATAAATGACGGGGACATGGGTAAGACCAGGTAGTGCAGCTTGTAGTACTAGCAGGACCAGTAGGAAGGAATCTATTAGACTTGGACTCATCCCTTCGGTGTGCACAATTGTTCTTACTGATGAATTCTTTTATTTCCGTATTGGATTTCAAAATAAGGTATTCAAGTCAAGTCGCGTTCAACAGTATGTGCATAAAATTTTTCAACGAATTATGGATCACACTATACAATCAAATCAAATGCAGACAGTCAGAATCGGACAACCCTCTTTTTTGCAACGTAGTGATCTGGGGTCAACACGTGCGTTCTTTGATGGGTCATGGTTGCAAGTGCCATGCCCTAGATGGCCCGTATCAAGAGGTGCCAAAGTAACGCAAAAATCCCCTTTTCCCATTTTAGGGTGGTGTGGGTGGGCTCAAAAATTTTGAGTGCCTCTCACATGGGCTTGAGATTCAAAACATGCACGCACCAAGTGTCAGGGACGAGGAAAAAGGGTTGCATGCAAAAACTCAAGCACATGTAAAAACAACATGACATGACATGTAAATACCCACATGAAATCCGCCCCTCCCAAATAAAGAGGGGTGAGGGGCTGCAACACGGATCCCAAAGAAGGTTCTGTTGGCAAGCCGAAGTGTTCCTTCTTGTATGTCCGTATTGGATTTCAAAATAAGGTATTCAAGTCAAGTCGCGTTCAAAAGTATATGCATAAATTTTTTCAACGAATTATGGATCACACTATACAATCAAATCAAATGCAGACAGTCAGAATCGGACAACCCTCTTTTTTGCAACGTAGTGATCTGGGGTCAACACGTGCGTTCTTTGATGGGTCATGGTTGCAAGTGCCATGCCCTAGATGGCCTGTATCAAGAGGTGCCAAAATGTGCCAAAGTAACGCATAACCCCCTGATAGTCACCACGGGACTTTGGCATCAAACACATCCCAGACAAGCTGGTCAAGGTTTGGAAACTCTTGTACCCTCAGAGCGTTGACGAGCCCAATGACTTCCTCTCCCCTGCCACGTGACGGCGCGTCACGAATGTTATGGTACGTCTATGTACCACATTGACGGAAACTGCGCGTCAGGGTGCACAAAGGCAACGGCGAGGCGTGCATGGCTGCATTAGTGCTAATCCTTTTGATAAGGGACGCACGAGCTGAGTTATATATATTGTCAACCCAAATTATCACTCTGCGATCTTTCACCAACGGTCCCAAGCACGTAAAACAAGCGCCCAGGCATGCTCGCCCCTGCTCCCACGAGCCGTCGGTGAATATATGCAAAAGTGTGTTGGATAGAGGACATTTATGAACCAATTAATTTTTCGCAGTTTTAAAGCCGATGGATTTTGGCTGGAGTGTCCCCCCTCTCCGGCCGCAGCCATGCATTGCGGGTATCTGTTTCTTGGCCCGCCGTCAGCCTTGAAGCGTCATCGTCTTTCATCCACAGGAAGAGTGTAGGCCGCAAGAGTCTACATGTGGCCCTCGTGCGGTTCGAC